AGAAAAACAAAATCAGGAATCATTCGCTCAAGATGTTTTCTTAGCAATGGAGACAACATGCCTAATCCAACAGTGGCAATGGGTCAGATTTGAAGAATGTTACTCACCCCATTTCCTTGTGTGATATTTAACTGAGGAGAACAGTCAAGCATCCAGGAACTGTCCCGCATATTTGCCCCATATCCCCCCAATAATGATGAAGCATGGAAAAATCCAAGGTAACACTATTTATGGTGTTCTATAAAAATCAGAAAAATTATGTTGTCCATAATGTGATACACTTCCTAAAACTGTAAGATAATGCAGAACTGATATTACAACTAATCCAGTTTCTAGTAGGCAGGTCACCTGCATGTTGGTGTATGGTCTAAATAAAGTTAATTTGCAGAAAATCCAATATAAACTCTATCTGGCCATTCATCCTCTCTAGTTACTAATATCGACCAAGCTTTAGTACAGAATGAGATTTGAAAATTAGGGATAAAATTCTAAAGTAACTTCTTGACTTCTGTTTCTTTGAAGGATTATATATAATTAAGTAACTCCAGAGGACAGGAAGACCTGGAGGAATGTTGTCCATGGGGTCGCGATGAGTCGGACACGACTTCGCAATTAACAACAACAAAGTAACTCCTATTTTTTTTGATTTACGTGTTAAAAAATGAAAACAAGTCTCTTTCTCTCACTTCCTAATATAGCAAACATTCCATTTTCCAAGCTATTTTTTGTAAAAAAAAAAAAAAAAGCACTAAAAGTTTTATTTATTATTCAAACAGCATGCAGAGATCATACCAAGGGAAAAAAGCATAACTAAAGTGTCTATTCTTATCTTTTCTATATGGCCTTTCCCCTCTTTTTCTCACCATCTCTACAATGTTTGCCATTTAATGGTTACACACACTGAACAATGTTTCCTGGATGCTTTTTATAAATTATGCCAATATATTTTTCTTCTCCCTAGTATGAAAGTTCACAATATAAAAAAAGAATATAATATAATGTTTCTCCTTAATGTGTGTCTGCCATTATGAAAGATTGAATATTTATATTGCTTTTAGCAAAGGGCTCTAGCCAAAAACATTTTGAAACTCCAGTTGGCCCTTATGTTTAGAATTCATGAGAGATGGGAAGCAAAAATATATTTCACACTCAATTTGTCAACTTCCTTTGGTAGCTAGATGGGTGAAATATAATTCTGAAACACACTCAGCCATTGTAATATACGTAAATAAGGGAAGAGTTCCATTTTTATTTTTGGCCTGTTCTACATATTTAACACAAAACCTGAAATATAATTACCTATACAACACAGAGTTTTTCTCTTGCCTTCATGATGGACCTGCATACTTTTAGATGTTAACTCTGTATTTTATCCAATAACCTTGTCACAGATTCTCACTAAAGGTAATTCCAAGCAAGGTATGGCTCAAAAGTGGCCAGAGAAAATACAAATGTTCAACAAACATAATGTCAGATTCCACTATGGAGGAGAAGGAGGAGCTGGAACCGGGACTGTCCGATGGAGATGGCACAGCTCCCTTGGAATGTTTGGAGAGGTCAGGGGCTGAGGATGATGATGCTGTCCCAGGCCCCTCAGGCACTGGAGGAGGTGGTCAACCGGATGGAGAGCTGCCTGCCCTCACAGACATGGGGGAGGATCAGCTGCAGACAGGCAGTGGTGCTGATAGGCAGCAGATCCCCTCTGATAAGGAACAGCTGCCTCTCCCACTCGATCCGAGGGCACCTAGAGCAGCGGTTCTCAACCTATGGGTCGCGACCCCATTTAGGGTCGATCGACCATTTTTCGGGGGTCGCCAAAGAAGGCGATCCGCCATTTTCTCCCCTCAGGGGGCGGCGCCACGCATGCGCGCCACGCATGGGGCGGTGCCCCCATGTGCGCGGCGCCGCACATGCGCAGAATGTTTGTGTGATGGGGGTCGCTGTCACACAAACGTTGAGAACCACTGACCTAGAGTAAAGTGGAGGCAAGCTCAAAGGAGGTCTGCGAGGCTGCTCAGAAAAAGGTTGTCCCGCCCCTCCTCACAAGAAACAGCTGACTTGGGTTGACTTAAGAAGAGGCCAGGGGAGACTGTCTTTGTTGGGAACAATTGTTTGCACTCCCCTGGCTTTGAAAAAACTCAGCCTTGATTCATGTTTCTGCCTGTGCCTTGCCCTTTGCCCTGTGGACTTGCCCTGTGGACCTGACCTGCCGTGTAGACCTTGATTCTGGACCTTGTCCCTGTGAGCTTGCACCTTGTCTTTGGATTTCCCCTCTGCCTTTGCAAATTGGTTTTGTTGCTTACTGGCTTTTGTTTGTGGGACTATGGATGGCTGCCTTCAGGGAAGTGTGGGATGGAGCCTTACCAGCCATTGTAGGGCCGAATTTAACAGAGCAATAAAGGTCTCTATTGAAGCCTGCCTCTGCCTAGGCGACCTGGGTCATAAGAAATAAAGTCCTATTTTTTATAATTCCTTCACCCCACCCCCAAATATACATACATTTTTATTACCCAATCAATGACTTTAAGGAGATCTTTCAATCCATAACACAGCCCAAAAGCTCACTCCAGGCCTGCCAGATATAACTGCAATGGAATCTAGAAAAATGTGCCAACATCTTTTAATCACAGCAGAACAAGGCAATTTGTTTCACTTGAAGATTGCACTGGAGGGTAGAAAAATGATATTTGAGAGTGTTAAAAGCCAAATTTGTCTTTTATTCACACCTGTTTCTAAGTGAATTGAACAGTTTATACAGATAAGATCCATGGAACCAACAAATCAATGAAGAGAGATGAGAGTTTGAGGGTGGGAGGGAGTGATATAAAAATCACAGAACCTTGAAGTTCATTTCAACAATCATAAGCAAAAAGAATTAAGATGATAGGTATAAAACCCCTCTAGGAAGAAACTGGAAGATTGAAGAAATGATACGTTTCTATCTTTGAGGATATCTGGCTAGGAAAAAGCAGAGAAACCCACCACCAGAAGATGTAAGTCTCTCAGGAACTGCAACAATTTGGTCTTTGCCAAGACACATGCTGTTCTTCCACAATGAAGGGCTACCAATTACACAGCCCAAAGGTTGATGGGTGACTAAGGTAAATCAATCATTCCACCAGGGGGACATTAATTGACATCCACCACAGAGAAGGCCCAATCCCTGGTGAATAACTACCTTTTTCCTTATTTTTCTTGACTTTATTCAAAGCAACCATTTCAAGAATGCAGAGACACATCTCTGACCACAAACCTGTTTACAATTCTACCTCTTTGCAATTCAAAGCAACTTTCCAGGCAAGAGAAAAGAAATTCACAGCTTGTTACACAAAACCCACTATCTTTAAACAGCTGGTACAGTCAACATCTTATAACATGCAAGGATATTACACATCTTTCAGGAACAATTAGGTCTCCATGTCTACTTGTTTCTTACTGAAATGCCCAAGAATTCTTTTTACATACTCTTAATTGCCAAAAAGGATGGTGAGAGGGGTGGAATAACTGATTATTGGTGATGTAACTTTGCAGAATGGAGCTGTTCTTCGGGAACCTTTCTAAAATCATTACACCCAAGACAAAAGCAGTGTGTGAGGGTTTTGTTGTTTGTTCCCTTTGGTTGCCAACTATTATATAAGATGGAACAGTTTTAGCAAAGGGTTAAAACAATGCAAAGAAGTGCCGCAAGGAACAGGGCTGGGGGGGGGGCAGGTAACCTGCAAAACAAGGGAATAACATGCTCAAAATTCATCTCCTTTTTGGTAGCAGAGATGGAAAGCAAGGATACAAAAACCAAATCCGGAGAGGAAATAGGAAGGCCAGTGGAACATAGTAATTTTGCAAAGTGAAAAAGTCATCTGAGCATCTGGGGGATTTTTTTTTTTTTTTACTCCAAAGCTCCAAAAGTAAATCAACTTACCAGGGTCGAAGTGCGAACTGAAGGCAAAGCTGGGGTTGAAAAATGAAGCCGACATGACAATAGCCAAGAGATTTGCCACCATTCCCATGGCAAAAGCAGTAAAGTGGGGAGGGGGTTGTGGGAAGTACGAAGAGGAGAGAATGAAAACTAGATTAAAAAAATAAATAGCAAAGGTGGTGGGCACCAGGCAGGTGAGGCGGTGGGATGCAGGGGAGATTAAAAGCTCTCACAACTCCAGAAGTTGCACGGGTGTCACATTAAAAATCACCATCTCCTCTCTTCTTGACAGCACAGCCAGGGAATTCAAGACTGCAGCTCCTCCTCTTCCTCCATGTTATTATCCCGATGCGTCTCCTTCAGGTATCCACGGGATGAAGTGGGCTCGGGTAGAAATTGCCACATTTGCAAAGGGTAGCATTAGAGAGAGTCACTTAAAGAACAACCACCACCACGGCGATAAGGGCTGTTTTTTGAGGCAAAAAAAAAAAAAATGCAATCACCCTGGTGTTTGGGGCTGCAGTGCCAAATAAAAACAAAAGACGATGCCAATAGCAAAATTGTGCCGGGTCTGACTGCTGCCCTCACCCAAAGAATGCACACAGCCTCGTGAGCGCTTGCAAGAGCCCAAAATACGGTTTTACCCTCAGCTCCCACCCCACCCACCCACCCAAGTCCGGCTGCCAGAGAGAGAGAAGCTTTGCACCAAAACAGGAGCCTCCACAGTAGAGAAAGGCTAGGGCGGCGAGACGAAGCGGCCAGAGGGCAGCAATAACGCCCGGGCGGGAAGGAGGCTTCCGAGTGACTGCACAACTTTAGAACCACTGCCGCCGGCGCTAATAGGAAAGCAAAGGCAGGAGCTGTTCCAGTGCTGACCCTGGGAGAAACTGCAACAGCAGCAACGCCATCTTGGTCCAGATCTGCCCTCCCCCCAACACTGCAGTAAGCAGCAGGAAAGGAACGGGGCGGGGGGGGGGAAGCGCGAGAAGAGGCGACCGGGCAGCGCTTATCCAGGTGCCACGGTTTGGCGCGCGCCGGGGCGAAGAACGGGCGTCACTGCACGTGCAGTTAAGTGTGACCCGGCTGAGCTCGCGCGTGCTCGCGGCCTTCACTCCAGCCCGAGCGGGGCTGCGCGCGCACGTTGCCCGATTCACGCAGGGCGGCCAGGCAGCGAGCTTTGCTCCCACGCGCTCCTCATTCGCGGACGCGCTAGCGCGACGGGCTTCCCGCTCGGAGCAGGCTTCGAACCGCGTCTGGACGGGGGCCGCGGCACGTCCACTTGCGCGCTTCTAGGGGTTTGGAGCGTGAGTAGCGCCTTTACTGAGTCCGGAGCTCACCCACGGGTCCGACAGCGGCATGGCTTTCGGGCGACATTGGCTAAGCAGGCGATTTTTTTTTATTATTATTTTGCAAAATCGGGGCACTGCGAATCTTAAAAGCTGCAACGACCGCGCTCGCCTCTATTTCTGGCGCTCTTATAGGAGGAGTTATAGCGGGAAAGGGGTATGGGACTCTCGTGAAAATCACAAGGCCGATCTCCGACACCCTCCAGGCAGCGTTCATATCTATAAACCTCCCCCCCTTCCTCATGATAGATACGCTAGTGAACTGGGGTGCTTTCTACTTTCTGCGGTGTGATGCATGCATAGTACACAGTCATCATGTTGAGGCGGCCCTCTTACTATTAATTCATGATATGAGAAACACCCCCTCCCAAAGCTTTGACCCAAAGTGCATCCACAGAAGCAAATGGTGTCAGATGGCAATTTCGCGGACAGGTCTGGCATACACCATCCTTTTCCAGACTGATGTATCAGAATCCATCTCCCATTGCTGACAGCCAGCACAGGGGCGAAGCTGGCTAGGGATTACGGGAAATTCACCAGGTTAACTGCAGAATATGCGGTTCAACTTTTGAACATGATGTCATGATGTAGAATGTTCAGTTGTGCTTTAATTGCACTGCTTTTGACATATTTTTAAATCTTTATCTTATTAGTCATCTTGCATGCCTACATGGAGGGAGAAACAGTGTAGTAATGGAACAAATCAATAACAACTTTGAGTGTTTACTTACCATCAGGATAGTGCAAAGATGGAGAAGAAAGCACACAATATACAGAAAATCCAAAAATAGCATTAAAAAAGACAAGCAATTCCCCTGCCTCCAGTGTCCCTGGAAACACTACCAAGGCCCACCAATCAGGGCGAGAGTTTTTCAGCAGAAGACAGTTCAAGTAAGTTCTAACATTCACACATACAGCCAAAGGAAAAAGGGAGAGGGAGCAGAGACTTGCAGCCTTTCTATTTTGTAGCATGAATTCCTTCCCCTTTGCTAACCTTTGTCGGTGAGCTTCGCCAAGGTGTGAAAATGGAACTCCAGCCTGGAGGCCCAAAGCAAAGTACTTGTTGAAATCCTAAGCAGGAAAATGTTAGCAATATGTTCAATGTATCATGTGTATTAAAAGCCAGACTTATTTTGCATAAAACACTCTCTTTTTTTTCTACAAAGCCACGGTCTCCATTGTTATTCCCATCAGAAATAGATGGCAGGGAGCAAGTATTATACAATCTTATACCAGTGGCCTGGAATTTACATACAGGTCATGGGGTGCTAAGACATGGTATGGTGCTCAGTCAAGTGTATGATGATACAAGTGGGGCAGTTCTGAATTCGTAGGCAGTTTAAAAAGAAAACAGAAAGTGTTCTACTGTGAAGTCTTCTCCTATTTTCACCAATTACCCAGTAATAAGGCTTAGAAATACTGAAGGTTGCCAATGACCTTCAAGATAGAATGGATTTAAACACAAATTGTCACATCCACTAACCACTATATCACATAAATCAAATGCTGAAATCCATGGCTTTTTGGTTCTGTAAGATGTCAGCACTTCCAATTTACCAAAGTACAATTGTCGCCATTTTGAATTTCCCATGAAGGAATCTGTCCTGGTGACAGATTCCATGGATGTTATCGTGAACATACATTCTGCTCTCATCTTTGTGGACATGAGTATCATTTTGATGTAAAAGCAGGATTGCAGATGAGATGAGAAACGATCAGTACAGAAAATGAAGACTCAATACACAATTAAAATAGCTATAGTAGCTGATTAAGATTTGTCTGTATTGAGAGCTACTTTAATTAGAGCCCAATGCCAGAATGTTTTCAGTATAGTATACTTCATATACTCATATGCTGAAAATATGATGAAATTTAGCAAGGAGGCTATATTTTCTCACGGCCCACTTTAATGCTTAAAGTTTGGACTCCTATACACAATTAATTTTTCAGAGGATCCAGGCTCACAAAGAACATGATGCTGCAGATGTCATCTTACCATAAATAGATCTTGTGTTAAAAGAAGGGGGGGAAATAAAGATCTCCTTGTGAACAAATGTTCTCTGAAAGGCTACCCCTGATGCTTTTCAAGCTTACTCTTTTCCTTCCTGGCGTACAGAATAATATTGCATTGTGTGCAGCTACAATTCCCACTTGTAAAAATCAGAATGCAGAACTCCTAATGGGTGGTTATTGAAGCAGTTTGCCTGAGTGGGAGCAGAAATGCTTAGAACACAATCTGCTTTTAAATAATATTCCTTTTCATCAGTAAGAAGGCAGCTGCCTCTTCAAAGTTAAGAAAAACAAATTTTATTCTTGTTTGGAGACCCCAAGGAAAAAAAGGGAGAATGAATCCTAGAAAACTATTGACAACTTCAGAGAGAGCTAGATTCTTAATTTGGTTTATTGTCCCTGTTGTCTGTAAGGATTTCTTGAGGGACCTTGAATTCTACAGCTTCCATCTCCAGCTGGTTAATAATGGAACATTTTGTCCCTGAGCCTACCCCACTGCGGGCTTTTGCAGATAGTGTGGATAAAATATGGGTTAAATTTTGAAGAGAGACAAATACCTATAGGAATCCAGCCCAGCTTAAAACCCTCCATCTCAAACCAACCCAAAAACTAAGCTGACCAAAGAGCAGAATTCCCTCCCGCAGTGGGGGTGAGGGAGATGGTACAGGTAGTCCTCAACATACGACCACAATTGAGCCCAATATTTCTGTTGCTAAGTGAGATTTGTTAAGTGAGTTTTGGCCCATCTTACGACCTTTCTTGCCACTGCTGTTAAGTGAATCGCTGCAGTTTTTAAATTAGCTACACAGTTGTTAAGAGTATCTGGTTTCCCCATTGACTTTGCTTGTCAGAAGGTCACAAAAGCTGATGACATGTCCCCCAGACACGCCAACCGTCATAAATATGAATCAGTTGCCAAGCGTCCGAATTTTGATGTTGCAATGGTTGTAAGTATGAAAAACGGTCATATGTCACTTCTTTCAGTGCTGTTGTAACTTTGAGTGGTATAGGAAAGTTGGAATTACTGCATCGGATGCATCTGCCATGTAGCCCTCAATTATACAAGTGTTAATTATACAATTAACACCATTTTGAAGGAGCACATAACCTCAAGACCAGCAATAGAGCAACTGATAGATCAGATGCGCAGAAGGAGGAGCTGTGATGGAAAGAGAGTTATCTTGATGTACCAAAAACACTCCATTCCTACTCCCCAAAATACATTCCACAGATCTCCATCCTGTCAGCCAGACTAATTTTGGACTAGGAATGAAGCAAAAAGGCTACAACACATCCCCTCTAGCAGCCCTCATTCAGATAAGCAGGGATCAGCACTAAAACAATCAGGAAGAAAACAGTAATGAGGGAACCACCATGGAGGAAACCACACCCCCCCCAAAATTGACAGGGCAAATTGCATATAAGCAGGCAAAAAATTCCACATTCACACTGATGATGTTATCTAAGTTGGGTAATGAAACGCCTGCAAGAAAAAAACCAAGCTCAGAGAGACCACCAAGATTCCATAGTTTAACCCTGAGCTACAGATATTTTCTTCTATTGGAGCTCCTCCACTGCTTAAGAATTGGTCTGTATTAAATTTAAATTTACCAACAAAGAATTAAAGGGAGACTAGTATAGCTATTTCAAGCTATTTAGCTCTCATCAGCAGAAATAGTATGCTCTGTCCTATAGTTGGGGTAGACCAGGGTGCCCTGATAGACCGGTCTCACCAGAAAATACTTAATTGGTCTGTATGTTATATACAAGCATAAGCCCTGCTCTAGATCTAGCAGTAGCATGTTATGTCTTGACAGCAGGGCTGGCCTTTCATCAAGCTGAGTAGGCAGCTGTTTTAGGCAGCCTCTTTTGGATGTCACAAAACATGGTGCTTTTAATCCCAGGAAAAGGGGGTGTATTTGCATGCATGATATGTCAAAATAACCTGAACTCTCTTAGGACTTATGATATGGAAGGGAAAACCCTTTCCTATTCCAGCTGAGACAGCATTTTTTTTTTTCCAGGGCCTCAGTGCTGCATACAAAAGCAGAGGACAGGTTGTTGCAAGGGGAGAAGGGTGAGAATATAATTTCTCTGATGTATATACGAAGGAAGAGGTGAACAATGGATTATAGTATTGAACTGGAGCAAGAATCTGGAACCAAGAGCAATAAAATGATCAAATGGTAAGACAATGCTGCAAAGGAAAGTATTTTTTTTTTTCATCTGTTCAGTCCTGTCCAATTCAAGTCTGAGTTTTTTGGCAAGGCTCTTCAAAAGTGGTTTGCCATTGCTTCCTTCCTAGGGGTGACAGAAAGTGACTGCCCCAAGGTCACCCAGCTGGCTTCATGCCCAGGCAGGACTAGAACTCCCAGTCTCCCTGATGCCTTAACTACTACACTAAGCTGGCTCTCACCAAAAGAAAGTACTGTGTAGCTTTAAGAACATTTAACCTCTTTGTTTACTTTCTCTTTTCTGTCCTGAAAACAGGTTTATAAATATTGTCCCTCTGGATTAGTAGAGAAATAGCCATGCAGTCTTTAAGCAAATAATAACATCATAATAATGTTCAGAGTTTACGTGTTTTGTCTAAACAAGTTGTTGTGCATAACACCAATGTAACCCATATTTCAACTCTCTCCCCAGACCACAAAAAAGATGTGCTAAGTGATCATGGCTTTGGCATCAGTATGTTCCCTTTGGTATCCAAGTCTTCATTCTTTTGAAGAAAAACGAATGCATGCATTTTGTCAGGCAAAGCCAGCCTCTGTTTTAGGCTGTTGCCCTGGATATCCAGCATGCCTGTAAAATCCATATCTATCAAGTCTGCATGCATCAAATTAGCAGCTTCGCGTGCAATACAGAAAGATATCTCACATGTGTTTACTTGCAATTTGTTCTGGATATTACCCACATTCACAGTACACAAGCTGCTTCCCACATGCAAAATACACATTCCCACAAAAGAGAGTTCTGTTTTATATTATGGATACTTCAGCCCCTCTCTTTATTCTATGGGTTAAAAATTGATTCCTTCAACAACAACAAAAAACAAAGGCAGAACTGGGAAATTAAATAATATGGGAAACAAAGCTGGCAAAACACAAGACTAACATCATTTCATATAGCCTCTGATTAAAGTTTGAATTTCTCAGAAATCTGGAAGATGGCCAGATAATTGATCCAGATGGAACATTGATTCTCAAGAAAATTCTCATTTTACAGGAACATTGATTCTCAAGAAAATTCTCATTTTAGAGTAATAGCTAAAAAGTCTAGCCAGGGACATATATTAGGATTATCTTCTTTTTCTCAGTATGTCCACATATGGTTTCTATTTTTTGTATAAATTAGGAAATGGGCATTATAATCTTGGCCTTGCATTCCTCACTTTAAGTTGGTGGGAAAATTATTATTCTGGTAGTCTGTGACCTTAAACTGCAACATTATCTCTTTTATAACAGACCAGCATCATCCTACGGCTAGCCTGAATCACTGCATTCTTTTTTTTAATTTACAGACTTTTATCTCTTATTTTCTTTTCAAAATAAAGTTTGTTTGTGTTAACTCTGGTGTGTTTGATCCTTTTCCATAGGAGGAAGAAGAGCTGAAACTCCTACTCTCTCTCTCTCTCTCTCTCTCTCTCACACACACACACACACACACACACACACACTTATATATATGCTACATAGCCAGGAAATTGCATTATAGAAATCATTATTATTATATACACAACAATGTGAAATCAAAACTGCCAGTTCTTTAGCTGGTGTTGGCTTTCATACACATCAAGTTCTTCCCAAGAACCTTGGATGTCATAATGTATTAATGTAGTATATGTGCAGGATCCAAGCAACATTGCCTTTTGTAATTGACACATTATCTAAGAACCATCCAAGATTTTTTGGTATGGCCCAGGTTGCCAATAAACGTGGATCACCAGTTTATGCTATAACCTTTCAGCTTCAATTTTCAGATCTTGGTACTTTCTGATCTTCTCCAGTTCTTTGTTTTCTATTCTACCATCCCCACATCTATTCTATTGTCACATCAGTTACATTCTTCTTTTAAACCATAATTACTGTGATGTGTTATGAGCCAAGTCTTATCAGTTTATATTCAGAAATCCCACAATATTTTAACCTATTACATTTTCAACTATTTTTTCAACTTCATGTTCCCATCAATTTTTTATTATCGGCACATGATAATTTTTACAGAAGTTCCAGTGAATAATTTTGGCAAGTGCATTTTGTCATTGTTTACAACCAATTTGTGCAATCTTCTAGACCAGTGGTTCTCAACCTGTGGGTCGGGACCCCATTTGGGGTCGAACGACCATTTCACGGGGGTCGCCAAACAAGGCTGTCCGCCATTTTTCCCCCTTTTCTTTGGCCACACCCCTGGCACCCGGTGATGTATAAGTGGTTGGGGGTCACCACAACATAGGGAACTGTATTATGGGGTTGCGGCATTAGAAAGGTTGAGAACCACTGTTCTAGACTGATCTGAGTATATAATCTACTGTACAAGGAGATTACTATTATGGTTAGTCACATAGTTAGCAAGATGTTTGGACTGGACTTGACACGTCCAACCACCCACTGAGTCCTTCTCAAGGACATGAGATAGGTAGATGTTTTTATTTGGTGGTGTTAAGCTGTTCCAAATAAAGCTGCCTTTGACAATTGACTGATGGGGATTTTGGCAGTGCTGACGGTGCTCAAGTAGTGCTCCAGATGTTTTGGAATTGCATTCAAGACACCTATTACTACTGGTACTATCTTTTTTTTTCTTTTGCCACAGTCATTCTACTTCTATTTGAAGATCTTTGTATTTTGTGATTTTTTTTTCCTGGTTCTTTCTCTTGTCTTCTGCTGTCTCCATATACTACAATGTCCAGACTTTTTTGTCTTTCTTATCAACAATTGTTAAGTCTGGGTTGTTATGTGACAAGTGACTGTTTGAATTCTAAATTCTCAGACCACTTTAGTTTTCTTCATTTTCTATTACTTTGTCTATTTTATAGTCCCACCAATTCTGTCTTGCATGCAAATGGTATTTCTTGCAGATGTTTATTTTTTTTTAATTTATTTATTTATTTATTTATGAGACTTATATACAGCTTTAAGTGCAAGCACTGTCTAAGCGGTGTACACCAGTAAGCAATGTATATATATATTTACATTGCCCCCAACAATCTGGGTCCTCATTTTACCTACCCCGGAAGGATGGAAGGCTGAGTCAACCTTGAGCCGGTGAGATTTGAACCGCTGACCTGCTGAACACAGTCAGCTAAAGTGGCCTGCAGTACTGCACTCTAACTGCTGCGCCACCTCGGCTCATGTTCCAATGCTACTTTGCCATGCAGTTGTTTGTCATATACCAGTGTTGTTACTTTGTCATGCTTCTGTTTGTAGTCAGTCTGTGCAGTTCTTGCAGCAACTAACTAGGTAATCCACTGTTTCTTCAGCTTCTTTGCAGAGGTGGCATTTGCTATCTGTTGCTGTCTTCTCAATTCTGGCCTTGTATGCATGTTCTTAAGCCTTGGTCTTGTCAAGTAGAATTAGCCCCTCTGTCTCTTTTTTAACTTTCCTGCTCTTAGCCATTGCCAGGTCTTATCATTATCTGCTTTGCCTGCTAGGATTTTTTTTATGTAATGGCCATGTAATACTTTGCCTTGTCATGTTTCTTTTCTACTCTTCCTTTAGTCTTTCTTGTAGGCCAATTTGGTCTCTCCCGCATTCAGTAAGCCTTCCTGGTATATTAGCTTCAGTGTATCTTCTTCACTGTCCTTCCAACATTCTTCCATTGCCTTTTTTTTTTTTCCTTCTTCAGCTGTCTGATGTACTTGCAACATTCCACATTCCCCTATTTTTCCTTGGTAAGTAAAGTCTGTCAACGTTGCTGCATGGATTAATTTATTTTTATCATGAATTATATACCACCCAGCTCCCAGTGACTCTGTACCCTTTTAAAAAAATGTCAAGCCCAACACTGCTGGGTAAATCAAGGAAATAAAGACCACTCAGACTTTGTTAAGGTATTTTTAATGCCAGTCATAAAATAAATAAAACAAAAATCTCAGAAATTGTGTAGGAGATAATTCCAACCCTCACTTACAAACAAATTCTCTTTGAATGATTCAAAATGCTTCTACCTAGGTATCTTGCCACCTGGTTGGAGATGTTATTTATAACAGAAGCTTCCAATGGATTTGCCTTTGGTGTTTTGATTGTATACACCTAGTGTCCCTTTTTCATTACTTTCCCATTTTCCTCACAATGTCTCATATACCAGAATGACTGCACAGGTGGTGAAAGCCCTCTCTCTCTCCCATGTCAAAGTTAAGGAGATAAGGTCTCTTCCAACTTTATTATTATTATTATTATTAATAATAATAATATGAACCAGCAGTGTGCTGCAGCTGCCAAAAAAGCCAACACAGTGGTAGGCTACATTAACAGAGGGATAGAATCAAGATCACGTGAAGTGTTATTACCACTTCACAATGCCTTGGTAAGGCCACACTTGAAATACTGCATCCAGTTTTGGTCACCACAATCTAAAAAAGATGTTGAGACTCTAGAAAGAGTACAGAGAAGAGCAACAAAGATGATCAGGGGACTGGAGGCTAAAACATATAACAAACGGTTGCTGGTATTGGGTATGTCTAGTTTAACGAAGAGAAGGACAAGGGGGGACATGATAGCAGTATTCCAATATCTCAGGGGTTGCTACACAGAAGAGGGAGTCAAGCTATTCTCCAAAACACCTGAAGGCAGAACAAAAAGCAACAGATAGAAACTAACCAAAGAGAGAAGCAACCTAGAACTAAGGAGAATTTTTTTGACAGAACAATTAATCAGTGGAACAACCTGCCTCCAGAAGCTGTGAATGCTCCAACACTGGAAGTTTTTAAGAAGAGACTGGACAGCCATTTGTCTGAAATGGTATAGGGCAGAGGTCCCTAACCTTTTGGGTACCAGGGACCGGTTCCATGGAGAGAAGGTTTTTTTCCCGCGGACCAGAGGGTCCATGGTTTTGTGTGCTGCCTGCATCTCACGGATGGGGCTTTGCTTGTTTGTGAGGCCCGGGTGCTGGCGTGTCACGGCCCAGTACTGGTCCACAGACCAGAGGTTGGGGACCCCTGGTATAGGGTTTCTTGCAGGAGCAGGGGGTTGAACTAGATGACCTCCAAGGTTCCTTCCAACTTTATTATTGTTGTTGTTGTTGTTGTTTACCAAGTTGCTATCCCAAAAGAGGAACCAGGGCCATGATGGGTAGAATGCTCGTGAAAAAAGAGGGTTGAGACCTCCAGCCTTGACCTTCTCCACAGGGTGGAGCCATGGAATCAAGTGAACCCAGGAGGACAATTGAGGGTTGTGTATATCTTTTTCTCTCTTTCATGTCTTAAGGACTGTTGGGCTTGACCTTGGGCAGCTTGGTGGGCAATTGTTCTCCCCAAATTCTTTTTTTTTAATGGAGAAATAAAAGGCATATTCACATGCAAAAGTTATTCTTTTTTTCTGGATTTGACAAGCTAGCTAGGTTAATATTAGGAGACAGATCTCCCCGGTATGCTCTTCAGCAATGAGAACTCTTTTTTTGTTTTTTTGTCCAACTAGTGAAGACATCTCAAAATGCATGCCCAAGTCTGTTCCACCAGTGGCTGAAGTCCAATCACCCCAGTGGGACCAAATCAACTCACTTGAATTGAAGCCATTAGAAACCCAACCCCAGTTACAAAGAGTGGAACTGGAAGTGGTGGGGTGAAAGGGCAGGTTCTCCTACTTAAGTCTACAATATAATAGTGCATATATGTGTTTTTGTGTGTGTGTGTATATTTGTGTACATAATAGAGATAGCAGTCACATCTCAATTAGATCAATCCAATTTATAAAATTATTTCATCAGCCACATCTTTGTTGACTATCTGAGATCATCTCAGGTTACTGTATTTTTCTCAAGATGTGGAACTTCCTTGTTCCAAAGACAACCTTTTAATCTTCATACAGATCTATATTACTATTTAGTTAGAACTTTATGGTCAATATACCTGCAACATGCACGTAGAACTGAAACTATGAATTAATAGTATTTTTTAAAAAATCAATAAAACATACAGCTAAAATAACAATAGTAAAAATGCAGATTACAAATCCACGAGGTAGAATACATATGGTGGGTTGAGGTGGGCTCATATCTATCTATTTCTATCTTTTTCTATCTCAGGTAGATAGATGAGAGAGAGAGAGAGAGAGAGAGAGAGAGAGAGAGAGAGAGACCATTTTGAACTCATGTAAATTGACATATTTCTTAGGCTTCAATGCTATTTCAGTCTATTAGACTGTGAGCAGTTAGTAATTCCCATGGTAAGAAAAAACACCTACTATATAACACAAACTCAATAATACAATGATCCCTCATCAGTACAATCTTTCACATTCCTATACATAAAAAGGCATGAAAGTTGCTTGTATTTTTGACAAGCTGCAACTTTTTAAAAATTTATTTGCTTCCAAAAGTAAAGATAAAGCACAGTCTTTAACATCTTTTTA